CAAGGACTGTGCCTTCACTAGCTGTGTGGATTCTTTTCCAAACCAGGCTCAGTGGGTTTCAAGGGAGCATCTCCTGGTCTTAGTTTAGAAATTAGAAATGTAAAAGAAAGCAAGTAATCTTTTAACAGCAGCACTGAGAAAGGAAATGAGAATACAAATGTACTTGTGAACAAAACCTCAGGGCATTCAGAGAAGATTTCCGAAATATGCAACTGCTACTCAGTTAGAAAAGCTACATAATCTCTGATTAATAGCAACTGCAACCTGGAAAGACTACAGCCACAGGAAGGCCAGTGTTTTACTATTCATAGAGGAGATGCAAGCTGAGATAACTCAGACATTAGCTACAGGGTTCAAACACTATACATGCCAATGTTTACCCAAACAAAATTCCTGTTGTCAGTTCTCATAAGCATAAACCTGGTTGTTTCCCAATAGGGTATGAGTAGTATTTTACTTCTTGACAATGAGTTCACTTTTTTAGTTACGGTAAATGTTGCCTACCTGAGCTGTGTATATTCTGTCTGGTTTCTAAACATAAACCCAGTCAACGACCTGGCCCATGAGTAAGGCAGATACACAGTTATTTCAAGCCATCAGAAGAGAATACAGACCCCACACCCCTCAGCCTAGGACTGGACAGTGGTCTCCATCTAAAGATATGTTTGTGTAAATAATGGTCAAGGTGTATCTGCTTAAGTTGGCACTGCTTGTTCTAAAAAACAGCATTCTTGTACTCAGAGGCCTGCTGATTCATGATGAGAGAAACAAGCTATGTAATAAAAACCTGAACGTCATATCTAAAAATAGCCAGCAGTTCAGACCAGTGCAGTAATAGCATTGAAATATTGGTACTAATTACAGGCCAACAATTGCAGACCTTAGAGCTAAGAGTAGATTTCTGAAGCAAGCCAGAACAAGATGTACTCATAAAGACAAAGCACTGCGGGATGCTATCATGAAGATGGCTGCATCAGATCAGCCTCACACCAAGACACAAAGGAGAACCTCTTAAATCATTAGTAAGCTGCAGCATGTCATTATTTTAAAGAGCTCTCGAAATGAACACCAGAGCCAAAGTACCTACAAATATCCCTCCTCAGTGGTCTCTAGGGTTCAACTCTGGACTCTGTGATGCCAGAGCTTCATTTATGGGATTAGGCAGTCTAAAGCCAGGTACAATTAATAACTTGCAGAACACCTTCCTTGGTTTTGCCTGCCCTATCTGAAATGATGCTTCCAGATCCAGTCACTGTCTCTCCTCAACATTATACTGCCAGCTCTTTTGCTCCATGTCTCCTACTTAACAAAAGGTTCATCACATGCATGTCAGCACAGCCCAGTGCTTTCAGCAATGCTGCATCACCATCCCCTGGTTCATGGTAGGGACACAGCACATATGGGGGTGGCCTGCAGGGCTGGTTAGCACCACATGCAAGAGAGGAGGAAAACTGGGAGCACTGCAGGCAGACAGAGAGCCTGCCAGGAAAGAGGAGGGAGGAAAAGAGAGGCTAGAGCATATGAAGTATAATGGAAGATGGAAGAGACAGGCAGGGTATGTTTATCAGGGCACTGCAAAAAGAAGGTGGTCTCAAAACAGAATTGTCAGAATAAAATCACAGGCTAAATAAGAAGGAAGTAAGAAATCACGTCTTGAAACAGGGCATCTTCTTCAGTGCTTGGCTGCTCTCCTGTCTTGCTAACCAGGAGGCACTGCCAGGCACAGATGCCAGACACAACAGTCTCATCTGAAGCTCCACAGTGCCAGGGGAACACAAATGGCTTCCCAGCTTCACCCTTCCCAGGAGAAAGCACATCCACTCACACGTGCTCTCTGGTTGCCTCCCATCTCACTCCCATGCCTGCTGTCTGGAATAGCCAGATACAGGCCTTCTTGGAGAGCTGCATGCATGAGCCTGAGCATCAGGGCCTGCCACACTTTGCTACTTCCCAGAATGACCAAACATGCATCTTGCACCTGCCTGGAACATCAATCATCCTGTCCCCTAGGAGCTTGGCCAGGGCACAGCCCAGCAGTGCCTCCACAGACACTGACGGACAGGGAATATGGGCAGTGATTAAACAAAATGATTGCATCTTTCATCTGAATGAAGAAAATGACATTCATTGCTGGTATTCATCTGCCATTCTGTGTTTTTTTTTCCTTTCTTTCAGAAAGTCACTACCCAGTCCCTGTACCCTGCATTTCTCCAGCAGCAGTAATGTGGGCATTACAACAGACTCACAGAGTTCTCAAAATTCCCAGAACTATTTCAAATGAATTAGAAAGAAACCAGGTCAAAAGAATTTACAGAAGGTAAAACAAGACACAAATACCAGTGCCATAATATCCACCAATTTTTGTTTCATTCCACACAGAACTCAGTGCTTTTACAGCACTTACTGAGTCCAAAGTGCCTCTCTAATTGATAGTCTTCAGTTGGATCACTCAGTTCTACCAACCTTAAAAGGAGACAGAACATTCTCTGCAGAGCAGGACTAAGGTCTGGCTTCCTGATTAACTGCACAGCATGAGGCACGAACCTCCTTAAACCTTAGGCCAGCACAGGGTAAGGGACAGCATGATTATTTCTGTATTGAGGCTTGTGCTTTGAAGCAGGGGGTCTAAAAGACCTGCAAATAGGCAACAGCCAATGATTTTCCTTAATCTTGTCCTCAAAATGAATGATTTGATCTTCTTTTTCTCAACTTCTAGACAAAGTATTCATACCAACTCAGACAAACCCAGCATCACGATCTCTCCTCAAAACTTAAAGGACTGCAAAGTTACTGGCATGGCAATACACACCTCTGAGAGGTGTGCTCAGAGGTGTGTTCTGGTGCTCAGGAATTTAAGATGAATCCCACACGAGTGCTGAAGTTTCTGGATCTGTGTTCCTGTATCAGCTGTCAGCACACACACAAAAAAAAAACAATACAACACTTCAAAGCTTTTAGCTCTTCTAAAGGAAAAGTGAAATGTGATCTCAGCACATCTGAAGGACCAGAAATCATATGACTAAAGAAGAAAAACTGATGGGCAGTTTTTTTTGTTTTGGTTTGGTTTTTTTGGTCAGTCTCCTGGTCTGGGAACAACAGCTAACCCAGCATTTTTTTTAAACACTTGACATTGGCAGTTCTGCTATTTGCCCCAAAATACCACTTCTTCAGATTCTAATTATAGTGGCACTCTGCAAAGTAAAATGACAAACAGCTTAAAATAAGAGCTGGTCCTAACATGAAGAAGTAGGTAAATATTGAATAAATGCTGATTTTATCTCCCTCCCTGTACCCATAAAAATTTGAATATGAAAAAATGGTATTTTCTGGATAGCAGTTAATAGCCATTTTTCCACTACAAGGGTTTCTAACAGCATATTTGAATCCTGCTCATGGAAAGTTCTGTCCCATCACCAAACACAAAAGTACCTATTGAAGACAAAACCAGAAGTTGCCATTTCAACTGAGAACCTTTTTGGCTACAGACTCAGATATTTTGAGCCTGCATATGGGGTCAGAACCACTTTCTTTTTAAGCGAGGCCCTGCAAACACTCTTGCACCTGAGTAACCTTATTTGCATGAATTTGTTGTGGTACTTCTTGTAAGAAATTACTTACTTGCTGAGACAGATGTGAAATCTATTTCTTGGACAGCGAGGAACACAGCATGTGCATTCAATCAACACAAAAAAGAAATTGCTACATGGATATTTTTGGCACAGAATGTTTCCTGGGAACGTTCATTCCAGAGAGAGCAGAGCTCCCTTCTGCCTGCCCAGGAAGGGCTGCTGCACTCCCAGAGGCTGTGCTGGGCATCACGGAACCAGAGTCCTCCCATTTCTAGATGAGGCTTTCCAGAACATTTGGTTTCTTGCTCCTTAAATAGGTTTTGTTTATTTCTTGAAATAAACTGTTCCCCTCATGCTTGATTTATGGCAAATCTCAATTTGAAAAAAAAAGCCATTGCAAATGTTCAATTGTGAATTTCACAAAAAGTCCTTAACTTCTTTACATGTCAAAATTTGAGTTAGCTTATGCTATGAAGTTAAGAAAGCAGAAGAGGTCAAAACAAAGTGACACTTTTATCAGTCTGATCTGAACCCTCGCTCCAAGACTGATGACTGACTGACGTCTCAAAACTTTCAAAAGCATTTCAAAGTTAACCTTTTTAAAACTGGCATTTCAGTTCATTTTGAAAATCCTGGCTCAGCTGGGGCTTGGGGAACACTTTTGCAGCGCACAATAAAATTGATTTTGGCCCAAGGAAATTCCCAATCCGTTGGTCCTACCAAATGTCTTTGGTTTACCTCCGAGTGTGCTGAGTTTTATTCAGCATGATTTGAGAAGACACACGGGTAGCATCTGACCACAGGAAGCCACTCACTAGACCAGAACTCTGCTCGGTACCGTGAGAAGGTGGAAAATGTGCAGTGGAGCCCTGAGCATAGCACCAAGCCCCACCCTATCCAAAGTGGATGTGGCAGAGGACACCCAGGGACCTGTGATGACACAGGGCCTGCTGAGCACACCCAAGCCCAGCTCATCCACCTCATCCCCACCAGCCCACACAGCGTGAGTCATACCCTCAGGTACGGAAATGAGCAAATCAAATCTGAAACATCATGCAAAGGAGAGTGCGTGGCACCCGATGGTTTGCAACACAGCTCTTCTTTAAAGTGCCAGAGAGCGGGCTTGGGATGGGACACAGTTGAGGTGCAGTTTTTGGGTGGTGTTAGCCAAAAGATTCTCCCTGGAAGAAGGGCTGGGGCCCAGCTGTCACGTGGGGATGAGTGCAGAGAAAGCCAGCCTCTAGTCTTGTGTTCGTGTCCTAGTGTAGATAACCTACATGCTAGCAGGATGAAATCACAGCGGTGTCATGGGCCTCACAAATGTCACAGCAGTGTCACTGCAAACACAGGCAGGAAATAAATGCTGTGTTTCATCTCTCGTTCCAGGAGCCATTTGTGAGCATGTGGGTGCTGAGGTCTGAGGCTATGGCCTTGCTCTGCCCACAGAAATCACGGCAGGGGACAGGCACAGAGCAGGCTGGCAGTGGGAAGCAGCAGGCACCGAGCACAACTCCCCTCCTCTCCAGCCACCTCGTATCTCGACAGTGAAAAAATGTGCTACCCGGCTTTCTGGGGGAGAATCTCGCTGCGGCAACAGCATTCATTCACTGAGATCAACAGAAGAGAAGCGACGCCAATCCGCGACCAGCATGAGAGACGGAATCTGTGCTGAAAAACACCCTGAGAAAAGCGGCCCTCCGAGATTTCCCCACACGGCAGAAGACGACGCACAAGGCGCTCCAGGCAGCAACGCGCACGCACGGCTGTCCCCACGGGAGCCCCGCGCTCGGCTCTCCCGTGCCGCCTCCTCCCCCTCCCCCCGCGGCTGTCCCGGCGCGGCCGAGGCGGGGCGGGCCGGCCGTGACGCGTTTCCACCGCGACCGCTGGCAGCTGCGCGGCGGCCGGCAGGCCCGATGGCGGCGGAGGCGATCGAGTACGAGGCGGGGGAGCCGCACACCCGCGTGTTCCGCGTGGGCGCGCTGGGCAGCGGCTGGCGGCAGTGCCTGCAGCCCCGAGACCTTTCGCTGGCTGACGAGGAGGAGGAGGAGGAGGCGGCCGGGGCCGTGGCGGAGGAGCTGGGCTGCACGGCAGAGACGGCGGCCGAGCTGCGGGCCTTGTGCAGTGTTGATACGTTAGTGTCTGCTGATACAGAGAGGGACCCAGAAGCGATTCCCGAAGACAGCGGGCTGGAAACTCTTCGGTTTAGGAAGAAGGCGCTGCGGAGGCGAGAAGAAAGGATCGTCGTGGATCGGGCTTGCAGACAGGAAACGCTGACTTACGAGATGGAGTCGCACGCCATTGGGAAGAGGCCTGATGATGCAGCAGACCTGGTGGAGGAGGGAGAGCTGCTTCTGACTCTGAACGTCTTCTATCCCGTCATCTTCCAGAAGCACAAGGAGCACAAGCCCTACCAGACAGTCCTGGTGCTGGGCAGCCAGAGGCTCACTGAACTCAGAGACTCCTTGTCCTGTGTTAGCGACCTGCAGATTGGCGGGGAGTTCAGCAGCGAGCCGGACCGAGCGCCGGAGCACATCAGCAAGGACCTCTACAAATCTGCCTTCTTTTACTTTGAAGGCATCTTTTATAATGATAGCAGATACCCAGAGTGCAGAGATCTGAGCAGAACCATTATTGAGTGGTCCGAATCTCGTGACAGAGGCTATGGAAATCTTCAGTCTGCCAAAATGGAGGACTACACATTCAATGATGTGTCCCTCAGAATCGGCTATCCGTACCTCTTCTGCCACCAAGGGGACTGTGAGCACATCATTATCGTCACAGACATACGACTTATTCATCATGAGGACTGCCTGGACAGGAACCTCTATCCGCTGTTAATCAAAAAACACTGGTTATGTACCAGAAAATGCTTTGTGTGCAAAATGTATACAGCCAGGTGGGTAACCAACAAGGACAGCCTGGCACCAGAGGATCCATGTTTCTTCTGTGATGTTTGTTTCCGAATGCTCCATTATGATGCAGAAGGCAATAAACTGGGAGACTTCCTTGCATATCCCTACGTCGATCCTGGGATTTTCAACTAGAACTTACATGAGCCAGAATGGATTCAGATCTGACTCATCTGACAGATGAAACTGTTGCTCTAGCTGTTAAAACCACCAAACAGCTTGAGCGTTGGCCATCCCATAGGTTTTGGGGTTGGGCCTTTATTCTTCTCCTCTGAGAAGGAAGGAGCCCTTTGCATTTAAAGTGTATCTGATATGCTTTCACAGTCACAGAGATAAGCTAGCATGGAAAAATATACTCAGATGTGTATTTTAATAAAGTACATTTTTCTAATATGTTTCAACTACAGTACAGTAATTTGGAGATCCAGACTAAAAATCTGGATGTTTTGAAAAGAGAATACCCGTACAAAAGCAGACAGTGGTTGTTCGGTGGGTTTGGGTTTTTTGTCCTTGAGAAATCTTATGCATCTAAGGTTCTGTTAACTTTTAAAGGCTGAAAATATGATCTTTGGGCATCTTACCTGGAAAACTGGCAATTATCTCTGAACAAGGTGAGAAAATCAGTCCAGTGATTAGCCTGCCCATAGCAAATGGTTGGAATTAGGTTATCTTTAAGGTCTCTTCCAACCAAAGCCATCCTTTGTTTCCCAAAGAAATCACTTGTGGAAAGAAACTGGGCAAGGTTGAGAGAAATCGGTATTTTCAGGGTTCTTTGGAAATTAGGAGAGAAGCAACACATCTAAAGCATCACCAGAGCCTGTGGCAGAATTAGGAGTAAAATTACCATTTTCGGATGAGCATCAGGCTCTGCTCAGCTCCAAAACCAGTGTGCCCTTCAATTCTGGAGCATTCTCCCAGGAATGCCCATGCCCATCTGGACAGGCCAGCTGTTCCATCATGGGATGTGGGCTATGAAACCCCAATACTGGAAACCCCAACCCTAACTGCATTTGACTGAAGAACTGGAAGAAGCTCAAAGCAAGAATGCCATCTTATTTGCCTCATTTCTTATATTTTTTAAAACATTGTGAGTAACTTCAAGTCTTCATCTCAGTACAAAGATGCAGAAAAGCCTGGTAGTCTCCCTAATGGAAATGCAGAGCTGAACAATATGTTTGTCAACGAGCAAATCCCCCAGTAAAAGGTCTGACTCATAAAGTAATGAAACAATTACTGTTAGATGCTATTATTTATTAGTTATAGCACAGTAGTGCCTACAGGCTAGGACAAACTCCCACTGTGCCTGGAACAACACAAACACTGAGCAGAATACGTAATCCAAGTGTTCTTATTTGCAGAGCCACTGCGTTACGCCCAATTTTAGTCTCTAAAAAGTGCAAACAAATGATATTTCCATCAACACTAATAACATCAGCAGTTATTTGTGCTGTCAGGAGGAAGGCAGCCTGCCCTTCTCCCCGTGGCACTTCCAGCAGTTCACACTGCCCCTGAGAGAGCAACCCAGCTGGGGAACAGCAGTGTTGGTATGCAGGCTTTTGCCTTGGCAGGTATCTCTGGAAAAGCAAATTAAAAGGCAAAGGTAACCTCTGGTGAGTGCTAGCCTGAGAGGGGAGAGAATAACACTTAGAAGCAAACATGCTGATAGGCAGCAACCCTCAGGTTGTCCTCAAAGGCAACCTCAGATTCTCCAGATGAGATGCTGCACAATCTGTCAGCTGGGATATGACCGAAGGCAATGGTTTTGCCTGTGGAAAGGAGAATGGATGCTGAGCTTTGGGAAAGTCAGCTCTGTCATGCTGAGGGATATTGTCCTTTGACAGCTGGGAGAAGCTTCACTGCTGAAGTGATTTACAGTCACATGAAAAGAATAGCATAAATACCACTGGGAAATTCATGGAGAATTCACACCAATGAAGGGTATGATCCAACAGGCTTTACCTCTCACTTAATTTACTGTTTCTATTACTTTATTATTTAGCCTCAGCCTGTGTTTTCTGAAGATAAATACTGTTTTTTTAAGATACCATTGTGATCCAAAGCCTGCTGAGGTCTCTAGAAAGGCACAATTCACCTGGACTTGAAATGAACCCATAAATTTAAGGAAGGGGGATTGGCTTTTTTTTTCTTTCCTCCTTTTTTCTCTTGTCTAAACTTCAAAAAACTAAGCATGGATTTTGCTAGCAGATTTTGTAGGTGTGCTGCAACCATTACATATTTTGCCATCAATCCCAGCATATTCCTACAAGCCAGGTGCTGGAAAGTTTGTGCTCTTTTGTTCTGAAAATCTGGGGCATGTTCATATTCAGGCTTATCAATGCCAATTAATGTGCAACTACAGAAAAATAAGCATCCTTACTTTTTTTTTTTTTTCCATAGCAAAACTAAAAAAATTCACTAACTTTAAGACATCTTATTCTGTAAAGTCAAAACTAACAGTGGATAGAATCTGTTCCAGAAACTGTGTAAAAAAAGAAAGTAACCAAAACACTTCTCCAAGTGTCCCGTCAATAATACAGTCACTCTGCAATGTCACACAGAGGGGTCTAGAAGCCTTGCAAATGGTCTGAAAGGATCGCAAGATACCATTAATTGTTTCCATTCTACTCACTAGTGAAAACTACAGATATTTCCAGTGACATAGAATGCAAAGTCTATTACTAGTGACATCAGCTGAATTCTGTATCTCCAAAAAGCACGCACTATCCTGTCTTCTGTATTTCTTTTCTTTCAAACTTCCAGTTTTGTGCCTCTCATTTAGTAAGGGCCTGGGTTAGTTGGCCAAGTCGTCCTGACTAAATGCACCACTGCCAAGATTCTCCAGAAAGCAAGAGGAAAACAGGTTGGTTGGTTTGGATTTTTTTAAAGCTCAATGCTGGTGAAAATTGGCCAGACTTGAGTAGGTGACAATTTGTGGGACATTTTGTGTTATGCTTTTACTTTTCCAGAAGAAGGCTATAGGCATACATGGGTGTCCAGTAGAAAATTCATCATTTCGGTCATCTTTCTTATCTGCCTTTTTTCCTGTCCTGGTGGAAAACAGCCCGTGTCAGAGCTGCAGAACCACCTGCACTGATGGCCGCAGGAAGACAAACACCAGCTCAGGACCAGTCACGTGGGGGCTCTTCCTGACAAACACTCCAGACTGCTGAAGTAAAAGGCTATAAGCAAACCTGCTGAAGTGAAAGCCATACTTAAGTTCTTCTTATCTGCTAGGGGATTCTCTCCTTTTATTCCTGAGTACTTTCTTACAAGGCTAAAAATACTTCAGTGGTGAAAGGCCTTAATAGGGAAGATAAGGTGATACCACACCAAAGCCTGTAATGCAGGAACTGTTTGAAGGAGTAAAGGCAACACAAAGGTCTAGTTAACATCATATCCCTTGTTGAACTCAAAGTAGCACTTAACACATCAAATAATGGTTTGAGTTAAGCACAGTGTTGATGAAGTCTCTTGGCTTTCTTTACATACAACTGCACATTTTCACTGGTTCACATAAGCAGAGACATTTCAGAGCAGCAAAGATCACAGTGTGCTACTCTGATGTACTGCACCACAAAGGGCACAGAAACCACCCAGGAATCCCCCGCAGGGAGACAAGTTCTGCTGAGCTCAGCTCACTGATACTTCCAGTAATCCCCAGGCATAAGGGATTCACAGCAAGGCCAGCCTACGTCCACTCCAAGCACCTTCACCCTGCTGGCACAAACTGATGTTGCCAAAGAAGAAATGAGGGAAGCCCTGTGCCCCTTGGGCAAGTGTTCTGTGCTTTGTGTCTCCATCTCTGACTTTCTTAAACTGTGACACTCAACACAGATTCTCCAAGGTGCATAAATTGGAGGAGAAGCAATCTGTTGCTACTGCTGACTTTAACCACTATGTGAATTTCAACCTGGAGTAGTAGCAGGCTGGAGAATAACCCAGCATACCTCTAGCCCCAGGAATGAAAACAATTAATGCATGGTTTCATGAGCTCAGCTCCAAAGCAAGAGGGGAGCTGCTGCCTTTGAGACAGCATGACTGACAAAACTGGACTGAAATGGATGCAACCACTACAGACTCCGTCTGTACGTCTGAACGACACGAGGTCAGGGGAAGCTAAGAGTAACTGCTCACTGATATTTGTAATAGCACCATTACAATAAATGTACAAAATCCAGGCACAAATCAGGCCAGTTTCTCCCCTGGGATTTAATAGCCTCCTTTTACCTATATGTTTATAGCGCACCTGCTGCATTACTAATTACTACTGATAATTATCCCTTCTGGGAGGGTAGGATCCCATTTTTTAAATATCCTCCTGCTAAGAAAACTATTGGGAAACTTAAGACAGAGCAGAGACCTTGCAGCTTTCCTTCTCACAGTCAGGTAAATTCCATTGCGGTTTTCTTTCTGCCATCCACAGCAGTAGATGGTCTCCTCCTCATAACCTTGCCTGACTGCTGCATGTGTCACCCGGGAAATTTCACTTCTGCTCATCCAGATCACTGAAGTAAACTCCAAGCAAACAAGCATGTCCCATGGAAATAAAGACAGATTACTGATGCTTATCCAGTAGCACTGACAGTGCAGAAACAAAAGCAGCTTTGCTGTGTGCCATCTGTACGGTGCAGCCTGTATAACCTTTCCCAATGGAAGGAAAATTACAAGGTATGTGAAGCCAATCTGCTGCATTCTCCTGTAAGGGCTACATGGATGACAGTAATGCTATTAACCTATTTTCTGATCTTGCATGAACATCAGAAGTGCAGCCACATCCATAAATGTTGGTATTATCACATACAGCTCATGTCATATCATTAATCACTGGTAGCATTACTGCCAAGTGCCTGACAGTCAGGATGCAAACACAGCCCATCCCACGTAGCAGCCACCTCTGCAGGCTGAATGCTGCTTGTGGAGAATCACAGAATCATAGAATCATTAAGGCTGGAAAAGGCCACTAAGACCATCCAGTCCAACCATCAGTCCATCCCTACCATGCCCACTGACCATGTCCCTCAGTGCCACATCCACACAGTTCTTGAACACCTCCAGGTGACTCCATCTCTTCCCCAGAGAGCCTGTGTCAGTGCCCAACCACTGTTTCTGAGAATAAATTTTTCCAGATATCCAACCTGAACTTCTCCTGGCACAACTCGAGGACATTCCATCTCATCCTATCACTAGTTACTTGGGAGAAGAGGCCAACCTCCACTTCGCTGCAACCTCCTTTCACGTCACTGTAGAAAGCAATAAGATCCCTTCTGAGCCTCCTCTTCTCCAGACTAAATCCCCCAGTTCCCTCCACAGCTCCCCATCAGACTTGTGCTCCAGACCCTTCACAGCCCTTTTCTGGACACACTCCAGGACCTGAGTGTCTTGTAGTGAGGGGCCCAAAACT